GTACAATTATTTGTCTTCGACGGAGCGCTCGAGAGCGCTCAAAATCTGATTATTACCACTGAGCACTCGCAAATTCCCGAGCTTCTCAGATCAGTATCATTTTTGTCTTTATGCGCGTTTGTTTACATTCTTATTTTTCTCACACCGAGCCATTTCCCGAGGTACGGCTCCGACGGAGCGCTCGTGAGCGCTCAAATCTGAGTTCCGGACCGTTGGGTGGGCTGTGCATCTTGACGTTAAATCCTGCGCTCAACGTCCGCTCAAAAGGAAATTACAGCTCTGGTTTCTCCCCCCACCACTACATGACATTCCCTTTCCTCAAGAGCTGGATCCTGGTATCTCTGCGTACTGCGTGAACTCCTTGAGCAGATGCCCTGAGTTGGTATGCACCTGTTTACCATACGTACCTCAATTTAAACTTCCTTTTCTCAACCACGTCCCCTGCTCCAGTCCCTTGGCTCCGACCTCCCATGATTATTCCGTTTTTGTCTAGAAAAAATAACAGCGGCGATCACCGTTTAAATTCGAAGAACTTCGTCGTATTCCGTACCGCTCCATCCCCAATCTCCGGTCGAGCGCTCAAGACCCGCTCAAAAGGAAGCCTGTCGGATCTAGCTTCGCTTTCGCCCCCACCATCCCGCCTCCCCATAGCGCACTTCCCTCTCAGTGTGGTGCTCAAGTGTCTGTCCTTCCAAGAGTCAGGTCTGGCAAGACCCTCGCAAAGGTCACGAACTGACCAAAGAATATTTGTACCGCTGCCTTCGCTTCTGACTCCATGCCGATGATTATGACTGGACTATTTCTCACGACTTACTCTCAATCGCCGGAATGCCATGGCTTCTTGGGCTTTCAACGCAACGGTAGTTCAAGTCGACGCTGGAGGATCCACTTTATTTGCGAGAATGTTCAAACTTCAAGACCTCGAGCTCCATCGGCCACGGATTTCGGGGATCGCAAGATCGCTTCCGTTGTTCAAGACCCTCCCGCTTCCACACTCAATGCAAGGGATGTAAGCCAATGACCCCTCATCCCCCCGCGAAGACTGAAAACTGTCCCATAATATGGCCCCTCGCGCTCTCACCAACAGATAAACAGTCTGGGAGTTTGGGTATTCAAACCCTTCGTCCTCCCTTATCGCTGCAAGAGTGTTCAATCTCGAGCCTGATGCCTGAACTTCTTCAATATCTACTCCGACCCTGCGGGTATTCGCTCAAACGCTTCTTTGACTCTGGTCTCAAGTATGGATCTTTTCCTCCTAAGCTTCAAGGTTCCATGTCCGCAACCACGACCTTCATTCTTCTCGCGCGCATTTTCTCTGTGTTTACTACCCGGTGAAGAGAGATGACCAGATTTCATTCTGTACGTTGATTCCTGCGCCCTTCCACCACTATTTTGATTCGCTTCAGTTCTTCAGTTTGACGTGGAGGTGCGCATGGTCCTGTTACCCTCGGACTGAATTGACCCGGAACGAGCGCACGACCCACCGCTCCACGGTCTGAGATATGTGGAGATGATACACTCGCAGGTAAACCAATCTTCACTCCATCTGGCAGAATTGAGAAAGTCACTGACTGTACCAGTGACCGTACGGCGTGTGTACCCAAAAACCCGCATGTTCAGAGCCTGCACGGGTATCAGTTGGGAATCAACCACAAGAAACTTTGTGTTTATCCCAGTATCCTTCGTTTTCCACTCTCGCGTTTAATTTGCATCGGTGAGGGTTGTACTCAAATAAATTTGCATATACTGACTTTTCGTCACAGATCTGGTCCAAAGCCACCACGAAACATACCGGCGATTATGTCATACCCTCAGCACACCGGCTCAATGATATTAAGTACTGTAAGATCCCCTTCTCATTTCCTTCTCTGTCCGCTCGCTTCTTAGATGTTGATTCAGTTTTTGAGCTGCGCCCTGAATAACCCTTTCGTCTTCAACTTTGGAGAGCAAGCCCCGCATCGATTTCGGAGGGGTCTCCGATCTTTTTCCCGCCTTCCTGGCAGCCAGTAGAAACGAGAAAGACATGTTTCTGGTAAGCCTCTTTATAATGTTACACCTGAAGTTTGATACATACATATACCCATTTCAGCGATGCACGCGTCCCCGCCGTTGGCAATGTCCGGCGCATTTGAGAACCGCCCACATTTCCAGTGAAGTTTTAGATTCGCAGAGTAGGAACTTTGATTCCCGATGGGCTTTCACAAGGTTAACTTATAAGTGGGTCAATAATGTTGTAATTCTTCGCCCTATTCAACTTGAGGCGTAGCAGTATATTTGTTTACAGAAGATGCTCATTTCTCCACCATTTATTCTGCACTGACTCACCGATGCTTTCAGCTTCGGCATCCAGGGGCTGCAACGCTATTTGATTTATTGTACGCAATGTTTGCATGTGCTAGATACTTGGCGTGAACGAATTAGCATTTTGAATATGCTTGCGTTGTGCGCGGTGAAGACTATACATTTTGTTTTTTATTAGCGCCGAATGATTGGCTGCGCTTCCAGATGAGTCGGTCTAAGGCGGCATGTTTGTTCCTTTGCACTTGACGCCGGAGCGAAGCGACGGCATGTCTTGTACTACTGTATAACAATCACATGGAGAATTTGCAATCCTAGAATATATAATACTTCACCGCAAACTTCAGCACAGAAGGCCAGAACCAAAATGTGATGTGGTATGAACACTTCAAAATTGAATGCAGAGAACACAATCCTGATATGAAATGTGAGCGGTTTTTGACGTCAGTCTGTTAACATCAAACTGAGGTATGTTTGATCCTATTGTTTTCTCGGCATTGCATATCAATACCAGATCAACCGCTGACATCAGGTCATTGTCCGGTCGGGTTGGTGGTACGGCTCCTCGGCATGCGCCGAAGGTGGTTTTCGGTACGAGTGGCCGTAAGGCATACGTACGGTGCGATTCCCTAGAAATACACATTGTTGAATATTATTGATAGTGCTGATCGAAGAAAACGATGGTAACGAGTAATAGAGAAGTGTCGGTTGGGCGAATCGGACGCGGAATTGGCGTCACAAACCGGTTGTGAAGCGTGTCAAAAGAAAGGTGGCAGTGGGCATGGAAGATTTGCCTTTTATGCGAGCGATGCAAAAAGCGAGGTACTTAATCTTGATGCATCATTGCAATGACGCTGATTATCGCAACCCGTGGCAATAGATTCCAAGAGATGGTTCGGTCTGAGGCCCCAGCAGCAGGCAGAAGCGTTGAGAGATGGTTGCTGGCATCGATAGTAGAAATAGTTCAGGTAGGTTCGAGAACCAGGATCCTTCAGAGCGGACTACATGGCCCCGGCGGGATGACATAGAATTAGACTGCGCCGCAGGCAGCGGCAACTGCGTGCCGTCGAGAAAAAACTGCGCATGGTCAGCTGTTAAGCTGCACGGGGTTCTTGACCGGGGATTTTTTTAAAAAAAGGCACATGTTGAACACTGAGAGCAGTTCATTGTAAGCTTCTGCCATAATCGATATTTGCGTTACGTGGGCACTCGGATGTTCCGGTGAAACTTGCATAGTCTGTGGTTGAAATAATGGGTGAAAAACAATAGAAATCGGTTTAAATGGGGTAATTGCAATCGTGAGCTATTTCGTCAAAGAATGGTTAATGTGGCTGCTGCGCAGACTGACAATTGATATTTAGATTGGACACGAGTCAGCAGCCGATTCCGCGCCAAACGCCTGTCAAGACGACCCGACCCGTTGGGTATTACGGTCTCACGCGCGGGGTTGGACCACAAATGGCAGCCAGTCAGTTCAATTCACGTTTTGGAAGAGAGAGTCGGTTCGAGTCTTTTCTGTTCAGAATTCTAGCGGAGCAGACCACAATGCGAACTGTCCCCGTTGCGGCGTACACGGCAGACCGGTTATTTTTTAAGAAAGAGTAAGAAACCCGATGTGGGAGCGGGTCTACGGGAGTTGTAGTGATTGTAACGGAGTTGTTAACTGTGCGGGAGCGATTGAAAATGTAACCACGACGGGCGGAATCATCTCTTCGGACTTGAGGAGCTATTGCGTTGTTACAGCCGCCAGCAAACGCGCATAGACCTTGCGCGGAAATGCAGATTTAGGTTTGAACAGGATATCGGTCTTGTAAGCTGAACTGGGGAAATAGTTGAAAAATCAAAAACTGGGACGAAAGATCGCCCTCTGAAAGGCCGCCGGGCAGCGCACGGAAAAAAATACCAGGAAGGGATCCAACATTGAGGTACGCATCAGACAGGGTGGGGCCGCGGTTCGGTGTGTCTGAATTTCCGCCAAACTCTCCCATGGTATTTACAGCCCCCTCGGCACTCGATTAGTGCTTGAAATATCTGTCAATAAAGCCACGTCGCTGCAGTGCTGGTGCACTAGTATTTGATCCCCAGGGTCTCCCGCTTGGGATGAGATGCAGATTCAGACTTAGACTACGTATCTCTGAGTGAGATGTTTGATTGGTTGATTTGAAACACCCAACAATTTTGAGTCGAGTCGAAATGGCAATGATGGCTTAAATAGGCTAGCTCAGTCTCTCGGTTCTGTTTGTTTATTGAATCGCGGATGTAGAAGACCATTCTGCTACCTGGAATTTCCCTGTAAGACCAGGAAATTTACGTAGCTGCAGACCGAGTTCTGTCAAATGACTCTCCCTTTTTCTTTTGACAAAAAAGGACAGAAATGAGGTTGAAGTGGATGTATCCGCCTGGAGTCTAGCCCGCAGCTAGGCCATCGAGAAGTGCGTCATTTTGTCATGGGAAGACCTGATGTTACCGCCACACCACGAAAGCATCAGAACAGGCCACCCTGAGGAGAAGGCGTCACAACTGGCAAAATCCCGCCCATGAGACTCATATTGGATTTGCATTAGGATACTGAATAGACCAAGTATATCGTTAGTCGTCTTGGTTTGTAGAATTGTGCAGGAGTACATAAACAAGTTAAAGAAGTACCGGAAACGAGGGAAGGGTCGCACGCAAGGCACGCAAGGCACGGCACGCAAAAAAAGTGCGTCCGCCGGGAGTCGAACCCGGTGCTAGGCCATACCATCTCCACATTAAATTCATGGGAAGACCCAATGTTACCGATACACCACGAACGCTTTGTGATGTAGAGCGATAAAAGTAGACCTAGAGCTGAATTGTCCGCGCATGAATTTATTAGGAGACTGGTTTCGTTCTAAGCTTGCTAAGTATTGAGCAAACACAAAGCCCAGATGTCCCCGATGAATCATGGTTCTGGATAAATTTTGCATACCAAGGTTCTGCGCAAGCGAGGTTTCATTTCAAAGCTGGTTCGCCGGCGTGACACGTTGGTCATGGTCTCGTGCACTCCACAATGCTCTCTGTGCGCCCGGACGACCGAATGCGGCTCAACCTGTGCCTCAACATGGGTGCCGCGAGGACTCCGTGCCGCGAAAACGCAAGCCGGGCGCTGCTCATGACGGTGCATGGAAAGGGAAAACAGTATGACTTGCTGCAATCCGGTCGTGCGTTTGTCTTTTGATTTATTCTATTATAACGAGTTAGGACTCATAATGTTGACGCGGAGCCAATACCCCGCACGAAATCCCTGCACGTCCTCCCTGCTACCGAGAAGAAACCCTCAAGTCACGGCCACTAGGCGACAAGACGAATAGCGAGATCGCGGCGGTCTTTGGCGGAAACAAGCTCCCCAAGCTGGTTCTCGAGAATAGTAGCCTAACGCAGCGGGTGGCACGACACCAGCAAGCGCCCTGCGCCCGAGCTCTCCGCGCACCAAGGAATAGCTGTGGACGACACGCGCGATCGAGGCGCCTGATTTCTCCTCCTCATTCGCTGCTCCATCCCTCTCCACTGCCTACGCGTGCCTGGACACCGCGCACGCGCGCGCATTCCAAACCCTGCAACGAATGGCCGGCCCTGGGACGTCTCGCCTCTCGCACCCTCGCCGATACCTCTCCCTCCTGTACTGCCTGACCAGGAGGATGACTACGACGAGATCGAGTACATGCCTCCGAAACTCAAGCTTGAGGCACACAGGTGGGCGCCGCCGATGGAGTGGGGGATGCCGAATTACGGCGCGGTGGGGCAGGCGTTGCGGGCGCGCGCGGAGGGGTGGGCGGAGGATGATGAGAAGGTGGTGGGCATTGAGATTGAGCTGGGAGATCCAGAGACGGTTAGTTGGGAGGAGATGCCTGTGCTGATGTTGCCGGAGCTTGGTAAGCATCTCCTTGGCTCTCGTCATTCTCCCCCTCTGCTTGTCGTGCTGCTGACCATGATACGCGCAGATCCGTACGCGGACGACCCGTTTGGGTGCGTTTCCCTCGCGCAGTTGACAAAGACGGCTGCACGGACGTCTGCTGGCGAGCGCACCAGGCTCGACGAGGGCAAGAGCCTCGGCAACGCGTTCATCCGCTACTACGAGCCGCGCGGCAACGGCGAGCACTGCGATACATTCATCGGCTATGCGTAGCGCTCCGGTAGGCACTGCACGGACGACTGGGAGCCGAGCGCGGACGTCAGCTGCGACGTCTCGACCCGCGCAACGCGCAACGACGCGTCCCGCACCGCCCGCACGTATATCCGCTACGCGTGTCACCACCGCTTGCGACTGGCGGTACCGAGTCCCGCGCCGCAGCAGAACCCACGACGCAACCCGGAGCGCGTGTGCTGGCGTCGACGCCGAGAGCGGGAGCAACGCCGAGACCCGCAGGGTGAAGACGTCCACGGGCCGCACCACTACCACTACCGCGACACCCGAAGTGCGTGTTGCGCCGACGCGACCTCGGGCCACCATATGCCCAGTAAAAGCCACCACCCGACCAGGAGCACGCGTGCCGGCGACTGGGTCACCGCGACCCGCGACCCGCGGCACGCGTGCCAGTAATGGACACAGCCTCCACCTCCGCTACAGTCCGTGGTGCGTCGACGCGGCTGTGGACAATGACGGGCCGGGCACCAGCAGCATTTCGGTCTGACCTCTTGTTGATTCTCCCCCGTCCTACAGAATTATTTTCGATTCCCATCACGGTACGTCTCTTCAGCTTCCTGCCTCTTAGCGGTCAACGGTAGTCCAGACCAGATAACAAAACAAAGCAACAAATTCAGGCATTCCGGTATGTTTATCGAGATTTTCTATTCAAGGGAAGCGCAGATCGTGTGCCACGCCCCTTCCCTTTCGTTTGTCTCTCGGTCTGGTACATCAAGAATTACTGTGAATATTCACACTTTTCCAGCTGAATTTTGTTCCTTCCTCAGGGTATTCCTTCTTGACTTGTTGGTGTTAGAATCGGCTCGTGTCTTGATGATCATGATTGTCCTTAGTTATATCGTACTGTGAGGGCATTTCCACGTTCCATCATACAAACTCTGAATTTGGATCAACCTGGAGCAAGATATACCACAACTTTGGTACTTTGGTATTTACCCAGTCTCGGTGCCACACTGCAAATGAGCAACAGGGAAGAGTGCGAAATCTGGGCGCCGCGTTTAGGTGGGGCGAAGTAGGTTTCATTTCTGTTCCGTCAGCGCGGCGGGATGAATTACCGTTGATTGACGTAAAGAATTGGGAATATGGAACAATTATAATGTGCTGTTTAATGCTTGCCTCGATTGAACAGGACGACCGGGTCCCTCCTGGCATTGAACAAAAACGAGGACAATGAGAACAAGGGTACTAATGGGTTTGAAACTAAGTATTTTTGGGGTTTCTGTTTTTCATTGTTAGTTGAAGTCCCGTTCGCTGCGCGCCTCGCGCCTGGCTTTTTTTTGCCCTTACGAACTCACGCCTATAGAGTCCAACTTTGTTTTCAAGTTCTCTATGCAATTGTTGGATTATCGAGTATGTGTCCGATAAGCCGAAACAAACAAGTTGAACCTCAGTTATGATCTATGGTTCAGTTCATCGGAAAATTGTGGGGGCAAAGCTCCGTCGTGTGGACCACAGAGCCTTCACCCGATCAAGGAACCCGCTTTTAACTGACGAATTTGGGGCACCTGCGTCCCTGCGCGCTGACAGGTCCACATGGACGTGAAGCCCAATTAACGCAATGCATCGGGGCAGAGCGGGCATCCACACCGCATCCCGACACTGTGCCGGAAATGGTTTAGCAGACAACTTCGGAGAAATTGCACCCCCAGTCAGTAACCAATACCCCCCGCTCCTGGCCCAACTCACATGCGCTTCTCGCGGGACGGACTCAACGGGAGCAATTTGGATACTGTTCTTCTCGCATCGACACCAGAATCTTCCGCCGCGTCGTTGGCACGAATATTCCGAGTCTACCCCATAGTATTAGCTCTCATATAAATAGCGAACGGTATTGCGACTGGGCGAGTGGACGCGTGAGCAGTATCCCGTCCGGTACTGGAGTCCATTGCACGAAGGTCTCCGTCCACCAGGGAAACATACCTTGCAGTTAATTCAAATGACAAAGTTACTTGCTTTTAGGTGATATCGATGCCTGGTAATAAATCCGTTCCGATCTTCTCAGGGCTCTTCCTCAGGGCTCTGACCCGTGCAGCATCGTAGAGTTGCATCTAGAAGACTGAATTCAATCACTGCGATATCTGACTATGCCTGACTCTCATGACATCACCTCGAGAGCGTTCCGCAGACGCCGAAACTGCCGACCTACGTAAATCTATTAAATTCGAAGTAAATATCTGGAAGGGAATTAGTAAACGGCGGAATGCTCAGCGACCCCTTGTTTACAAATTCGTATAGTACTACCTACTTGCCTACCTACTTACCTACCACGCAGCATGCAATCCAACCATCAAAATAAAACGAAGTTGCGGTGTTCCGAATCCGAAAGTTGATTGCCACCGGCCAACTCGGACTTTGAATTTTCATCGACTTTCACTCAAGCTTAAGTTATGGTTATGCGTCCCCTTGAAGGTTGACTGAGAAAAGGACGGTTGCCTGAAGGCGTAGCCCTCGCTAGGTGATTTTGTAACATCACCCCAAATTTGAGTGTCAGACTGCCAGAGTCCGGGCTTGGACTCTGGGCTTTTTGCAAGCTCCTTGCAAGGTACTGGGTGTTCCCGCAAAGGAGAACCGTGGCCGAACTCAGCTGAGAGTTGCGAGAGACATATCCACATGAAAGGATCACGATGAGCCCGGCGTGGAGCCCGCGTGTTCGGGCCATTGGATATGGAGGAAAGGCTGGTTCGGACGAGTCACGAGAGGACGAATTGCCAGCCGTCGGGGGAAATATTCAGCGACCTGGGTAGTAAGTATGGGTCCCATGCCGTCTAATTAAAAGCGTTTTCTCACATGGATTCCGCATATGGCTTACACTGCACCGCATCTGCAACCACACAACCACACCCCGGGATCTCCGGGATCCACAGTGATCCTCGCTCCGATCACGATTAGCGACAATCCATGTTCGAGAACGGAACCTGGATGCTGACCATGAGCGGACTTGGCATTGGCCCGACTGCAATCTCTTCCCGCTTGCTGCGAGGAACATTCGCAACCGCAAGGAATATTCGCACCAGAAACGTGAGCTCCCCACTCAGTTGAAAACATTGGATTTGCCTCCTAATAATTCTGAGGCCGATATCCCATTGCATCTTGAGCCGCAAAAGTATTTAACATTGAGACGGTTAGGTTGAAGAACAAGAAACCACCAACTCACACAAGACACCATGTTCAACCCATACTCACGAGATTTGCAAGGCTCGGGATCCCCTCAGGGTGGGCCGTCGATTTTTGGCGCTCTGCCATTTACCTCGCCAAACGCTTTGCCCACATTTTTCTCATTTCGCTTCACCTCATCCAACCCGTCCATATTGAACTGCAACGTTATCGGCCCAAAATCGCGGCCGTACTTTCGAATCACCACAGACACTCCCATGCCAGGTGTTTCCGTCTTTCAAAATTCGAACGGTCAAAACATCGCCCTGGTTCAATGGCACCGACATCCCGAAGTCGAACTGCGTAATATCGTAGAAAGACAGCGGGTATCGGACATGTTATCGTTGTCTCGCGACCAAACGTTAGTATGCTTCGTTTTTGAGGCTCAATATTTAGCTGAAATCCTATCTCAGCTCTCGACGAATGACTGTGAATGGCGCAACATTCACGTTTACTCCACGGGACAATTTTATTTGG